TCCTCCAGGGCAGAGGCCTGGCCCCTTCGGAATCAGCCTCGGACTTCCCAGCCCTCCAGGGCAGAGGCCTCTGCCACCCTGCGGCATCTGAGTGCACCCGGACCTGCTCCTTCACTGCTCGAACTGGTTAGAAGACAGAGAATTCAACAACTTGCAAGAAGATAATTTTTTTGTTTTAGTCAGTTAATAAAAAAACCCCATAAAAATGCTGACAGATCATGCTCCCACCAGCCTCTCTCTTCCTCAGGCTCCCTTATGCGCCTCAACGTTTCTCCTCCCTCCTGTCTCTCTGCCACCAGGCTGAGCAAATTGTGCCCCACAGTCTGGACTTGAGGCTGGCGTTGCTCCTGCGGTACCTTGCGGGGCAGCTCTGAGGGTCTGGGCCCTGCTGTGGAACCAGGAGCAGCCCAGGATGTGCTCAGGATCCAGCAGTTGCAGAGCCCGCTGCCCTGGAGGGCTGGGAATCCACAGCCACATCCCCGGGGACCTGGCTGGCACTGCTGGGGCTGCTGGTCTCGAGGGCCACCTGAAATCATTCCAGCCAGCCCGGATGTCCCCTCAGGAGTGGGGCTGAGCCACGCCCGAGTGCCGGCCCCAATGGCAGGGCCCGGGACAGCTGTGCCTTCATCTTTGCACTGCCCCATTCCAGGCTCCTCTGTGCGCTTCCTCCTGCCCTCCAGCTGCTCTCTCCTTCCCAGCCCACCATTGTGAAGGGCACTTGTGGCCCCAAGTCCAAGGGCCAGAAGGACAGTGGTGGACAGCGCACAGCCTCCCGTGGTGGACAGTGCACAGGAAGAGCCTGGTATGGCCTTGTTCGGGCACAGGGTGGCAAAGGGAAAGGGAAGTGCTTGTCTGCTGGGGAGGGGGACACGGAGCAAGCAGGGAAAGTGTGGGACAACAGCTTGCGTGCTGGTGGGTGGGGACCAGCACCTCCAACCTGGGGCTCTCTGGACAGGCAGGTGGCCCTGCTGCCTGACACGTCCTGGGCTGGCAGTGCTGCCCCAGCCGGGGGCTGCCCCTGAGAAGTGGGAGCTCACCATTGCCTCTTGCCCCCAGGCCCTTCCACCTCACAGGAGGAACAACCAGCCAAGACCTGCAAGCCCAAGCACGTCACCTGGGCACCTCAGCTCACCCAGATAAAGATAATCCCGGCCCGTGAGACATCACCTGCCCCAAGAAGACGAAGAGGATCCAACAGCCGGTACTCAGACTTCGACATCGAAGAAGAGAGAAGAATCGCGTTTTCAGAGATCATTAAATTAATGAGGCAAAAATAAAAATGCAGAGGGAGCCTGGTCCCATCAGCCTCTCTCTTCCTCAGGCTCCCTAATGCTCCTCAACCTTTCTGCTCCCTCCCTTCTCTCTGCCACCAGGCTGAGCACATCGTGCCCCCCGGCCAGGACTTGAGTGCCTTCATGTCGACACTGGCCCATACCAATCTTCCTCCTGCCCTCCCTTTCTCAAGGGGCAGCAGCAGGGGCTGGCCCCGAGGGTTTCCTCTCGCC